GCCACTTATGAAAAATGGAAAAAGTCGCTAAAAATGGACGAAAAGTTAAGGCTATAGCCTTACTTTTTTGCTGTTTTTTTGGCCACTTATGAAAAATGGAAAAAGTCGCTAAAAATGAACGAAAAGTTAAGGCTATAGCCTTACTTTTTTGCTGTTTTTTGGCCGCTTATGAAAAATGGAAAAAGTCGCTAAAAATGGACGAAATGTTAAGGCTATTCCTTACTTTTTTGCTATTTTTTGGCCATTGATGAAAAATGGAAAAAGTCGCCAAAAAAGTCGCCAAAAATGGACGAAATGTAAAGGCTATAGCCTTTACTTTTAGCGTTTACTTTTTTGCTGTTTTTTTGCCTCTTTTTCGAAAAAAAAAGTGGCTAAAATTCAACGAAAAGTTGAGGGCTATGACCTTACTTTTTTTGCCTGTTTTTAAAAAATGAAAAAAAGTGGCTAAAAATGGACGAAACAGTAAGGCTAATAAAAAATGTAATAAGTGGCTAAAAACGGCATCATTTTTTGTAGCTTTTTCAAAAATGAAAAAAAGTGGCGAAAATTGGATATAGTTTGTTCATGCATATGCTGGGGTTTTCACAATGAGGTGAGATAGCATTGCAGTATAAATTTGTATACTCATAGCAATCGTGTTTCAACATAAGCGCCAAAAATCACAACAGTATGTGGCATGTCACAGTCAAGGTTACGTCAACGGTTTTGTAACCATGCAAGCATCGGAAAAATTGTGTGAAAATGTACTACATTTTTTAGCCTACCCAGAGACTTCACCGCACACATGCAAACTAGAGTCATGGGTACAAATTCAATACCGAAATACAGGTACTGCCTGATAGCAGGCTAACCATTACCTGATAACAGGCTAACTATGGCCTGATAGCAGGGTAACTATTGCCTGATAGCAGGCTAACTATTGCCTAATAGCAGGCTAACTACTGCCCAATAGCAGGCTAACAATGAAAATCTGTACCTTAAGGTAGACCTCACTTTAACCATAGTGCAGCTCCATTATCGAGGTACATCGATGTCTGTGGGTAACCGTTAATATAGAGGTACATATGTCCGGACATGTTCATGGTAATAAATATCCTTAGTAATCCATAAATGTTCATTATAATCCATTAAAGTACATAATATACCAAAAGTATCCACAGCCACCACTAAGCTTCACTGTTAAAATTTTGGTGAAAATTCTTCTCAAGATGCCATATACGAAATTAGTTTTGTGCATTTGGACGTCCTCATGATGGTCCCTGTTTAGAACTCGACCAGCATCCATTAAGCCCCACTTTCTTTCGGATACAATTGTCATGACCAGCGAGAATCTTAAGTTGGAGTTAATAAGAAGTATTTAATTACATGGCTTCAACCGAGAATTATCATAGTGATAAAATACTTATTTTCATTATATGCAGTACCGATAGTCTTGTATTTGCCTGCAAATTAATATAACTAGGGGTGCACCAGAACCAGTTTTTTAAGTTCCGGCTGGAACCGTATCCAATCGGAACTGGAAAAAAGTTCTGGCCGGAACCGGAACTAATTTATTAAGCCATATATAGTCATATGTTACTTTATCTGTTGCATACACTTCAAGTCATCAAGGAGAGAGCTTGCAAATGTTAGAATAATAAGATTGACAAGCGTTAAACGTCATAATGAAGTGCTAGTGTACATTTCCCTTGCATAGTCCAAATTTCTTCCTACTGTGACCTTTTGTTAGACACAAAAACGGTTGATATTCTATCTCTGAAAACGACAGAGTTCTGGTTCCGGCCATGCTTTTTTACTAGTTCCAGCCGGAACCGGAACTCTAAAAAATCGATGTTCCAGCCCGGTGCACCCCTAAATATTCTAAGAAGTAGCTTACTGTATGTATATCAACTGTCCATCCAATTAGGTACCCCCCCCTTGATGGTGACATAGTCAACTAAGGGACAGACCATTAGAAAAGTGATGGGGGGGGGGCGGGCATTTCCAACCTGTGCGATTATTTTTTCTCAAAATTTTTTGCTTGTGTTGATAATTTTTTTTTAAATCATCCCTTGCTTTTATTATCCATCCATGGTTAAAAGGCCCATCATTGGCCCCCATGTGATCATAGTCAAGGTTATGTTTCGATACAGACATAATAGACCCCATACATGATCTATGTTTTTGTCTTGGTTTTTGCCAAAAATGGTTGGCTCATCGTCACATGTGTATTAGAGAGTTTAAGTTCGACTTCCAATACCAACATGTCATGCACATGCGCTCTGCTCACAAGAAGCACAAGGACAAGTGTATTGGAAGTCACCACTATCGAATTCAGCCTAATGTATTGGAAGTCGTGGGAATTGTAAGATAAACTCAAATAAATCGGATATTTCATAACTTTTACAATAAACACGTAAACTATTTGTTTATTGGCATTGTCTGAGTCATTTTTTCGGTGACGATTAATGTGTTCTATACTTTATCAGTCGTGTCATAGCTTATTACGCTTTATGAGAACAGAAGTGAAGACATCGGTATCGGAAGTCGAACTTAAACTCTCTATTGTTTTCTTGGGGTATGACTTAAGGGAGAGTTACCAACCGGAGAGTTACCGACTGGAGAGTTATGTTCAAACCACGCCCACTTTTCTCAACAACCACACCCATTTTTTTAACTCTCCCAACGTTTCCTGAACTAACATACAAGAGCTATGTTTGACGCAACTCTCTCTCGTTAACTTATGAAGATGTTAGAGAGTTATCATTTTCTCCGTGTTCACGATTATGGCAATGAATCTCTAGAGTTAATTAAGTCAGTTTTTTTAAGAAAACCTTAGTTAGTAAAGCTTGTTTCTTCAGATTTTCATCTTATTTTTTGGTATTTCAGTTTGTAGCGTGTCAATAGAATGTGTCCAAACAGGAAATGCAACTTGACTCAGTCAATTAGTACCCCCAGAAGCATGTTTTGACGTGTATTTGGCAGTAAATACGGCAAGAATAAGTTGCAAGAAAATTAAGAAAATTGAATCTTTCAGCAATTCAGGCCTTGGAAATACTTTCCAGGATCAGCCAATAGGGCATTACATTGGATTAAGATCTTCTTGTTCTATCTAATATTTTTAATTTTTTTAATTTTACAAGATTCGCCAAACATAACAGACATAAATAAGACAAAATTTACATACAATTCGGGCAGGGACTAGCCACAGAGATAATCTCCAATTATGGGGCCCCTCACATTAAGTTACAATATATAACATTAAAACAAATTGTGCTAAAATGTCAACAACATGTCCTCACTAATAACTATCAAGAGACCGAGTTGAGTGGCATTTGACGCACACAGACTTAAATGTTCTAGGATTGTACGGGTTGTATATTTGTTCTAAAAGGTTTAAGTAGTAATTGAATAAAGAGATTTTAAAGTAAGCTAACGATCTTGAAGTGTCACGAATATTGCTAGGGAGAATGTTCCATAGGTGCTCTCACATAGAAATATGTATCTGAATGCTGGACTTGCTAGATAATCCAAGTGAGCATGTATATTTATATAAACATTTACATACATATACTGTAGATGAACTTGGTAAGTACAAAAGTACTATTAGTTTCTACTAGCGTAAAATATTGACACTTGTAAATTTAGTAAAATGTACTAATATGTGGAAGGTTTTCTCAAAAAACTGACTTATTACTCTCTTCATTGCCACATGATGCAATCATGAATGCGGAGAGTTATAAAAATGACAATTCCTTAACATTTTCATAATGTTAACGAGAGATATAGAGTTGTGTAAAACATAACTCTCTCATGATGTTAGTTCAAGGAAACGTTGGGAGAGTTAAGAAATTGGGTGTGGTCGTTGGGAAAAGTGGGTGTGGTTTGAACATAACTCTCCAAGATACAGTAACTCGATCTCCACTTCATAACTCTCTGTTTAGCTGGTCATGTTTTCTTGCCCAACCAACCAATAATAGCATTAATTGGTTTAATTACCCATGCAGTTGTGATATTACACAATGGTTGAAAACATAACTACTTCCATTTGCGTTCAAGCTTGAAGGGTGCAAATTTTTTCCACGTTTGTTTATGTTTTAAACGCAATGTTCCGGGGGGTAATCGCGCCCTTTTGACCAACAAAACCGGTCGTTTGAACCATGCAACGGTTATTATTCGTTACATAATATGTCATGTTTTGTTTGAATTCCAATGACGTTTGTACATTTTTGTGCTGTAAATCCCTATTAAAAAACTCATCAATAATTCATGAAGAAAACACAAGGAAAAATCATAAGCGTGTCGTATCTGTATATGTGATACAGATTCATGTTGATTTACATAAACTTTAACTTTGATTTTCTCGGCTTAGACAACGTTTATTTTTAAAATTACTTCGCCAATGAACTCATAAGATGAGTCGTTTTTTAAGTTGTTTACAACATGTAACATTACATTAATTCAGCTACAAAATGTAAATAATTGATTGTATAGAATTTAGAATCACGAGAATACAAGAATAAAAGTATATTCTTCCACAATCAATATTTTTATATTTTCAAACGATTCAATTTTATCGGCCAAACGGGCGTGATATCCTTTGAAACGTAAATAAACCTGAACATTTTTGCACTCTTCAAGCTTGAACACAAATGGCAGTAGCTTTTGGTTGCTTTAGCAAAAATACAATACACACGTGACGATGAACCGATCATTTCTTGCATAAACCAAGACAAAAACATGTAGATAATGAAGTCCATTATGTCTGCATAAAGTTTCCTAACTTTTTTATTCTATTGCCCATGTGAACAGTCTTTACAACTACATAAGCCAAGTGGGTGAAGCCTGCAAAGGCATACCGTAAACCTCCGACTATAAGCCTCGGGCTTATATTCTTTCATATGTGATTTTTGATGGGATTATACAAGGGAGAGGCTTATATACGGGGGCTTATACATGGACGATCTTTTGTGTTAGTGTACTGTAATAGTGATAAACAAGTATAGTAATAGTGATAAACAAGTGTTAAGCACAGCAATAATAGTGATTAATAGTGATAAACAAATGGGCTTATATTCGGGGTGAGGCGAGCGTTGTGGTGGGCTTTACAGTACACAGGGGAGCTTATATTCGGAGGTTTACGGTATACAAAATCACATTACAAATTGCAGAAGAATATATTATATATACCTTGTGTAATGATGGTGTTTTCCTGAGCAACTACTTTATGCAAACTAGACAGTATTCTTCATTCCCATGGTTAGTGTCTTAGTACTGTCGGATGTGGTTTGACAGATTCTTGCATCCCAACTTGGCACATTCAATAGAATCCGATGATGCTGATAGGTTATCTTCCTTTGGGGTTTCCAACACTGTCAAGACTGTGGCGATGTGGATGGAATGTTGTCTCTGGTGCTGCATCTGTTGTGACTTAACAATCTTCCAAATTTGGAACAAACAGAATTAGTTGATCAATGCTCATAGTTTGCAAATGAATGAGTTTGCAAATGAATGAGTTACAAAGTCTACAATGCAGATTAGTAATCACTGTACGTGGTTTTGTCACTGTTGTGCACTGATTATTGGTTCTAGTGCGACTTGAATTCGGATGGTTAGCAATCGAGTTAAGGTCTATAATGCTGTTGACGTTCTGCATTTGTCCTCTGTCATTTTTACTTCCGACTGCTCGGCATCTCTTTGAGTCCTTTCTCTACTGTTTGCCTTCAAACTGATCGGTCTTGACACAGCTGACAGTCTGCGAAGACTCTAAAAAGAGTTGGATTGTATATTGTTAGTTATAAAATATTTCCACATCAATGATGGTCTCTCGATCCAGCCGAGTCATGGGCTTGTGACACACATGCTCATCATGCAGCTATTTAAAGGCCTAAAAGGTTCGTTTTAAGTGACAGGGAAACCAGAGTATCCAGAGAAAAACCTTCAAACATGTCCACACAATTGGTCCCCCCCCCCTTTGGTCACCCTAGGGATGCCTGTGGTCCCCCTTTACATGTTTTAAGAAAAGAGATGAATGCCTTGAGACCAGATTGCATTTATAGTAGTAAATTTCCAACAATATAATCTTTGATAATAATTATGATATGTTGTTGCATTTACTAACTATATTACTGTGTCTTAAAATTTGTAAAGTATTTTTATATGTTATAAATGTATTTTTAATTGTTAGTTTAATATTTTTGTAAAATAAGCTTTAGCAATACATTGTAATAGACCTTATGCATAATGACGTCACAAGGCTTCAGATGCCCGTGAGGAATGCTGGTCTTAGTAGTCATTGCCTGGGAAAATTTAACAATTCAAAATGGCCACAGTATCAAAATTATTAGAGAATTTTTAAAAGGACATGAAACAGTGTACAATATAAGAAATCATGGAACATTGATCCAACCGGTTTATAACAATTTATATTATCATAACTCTTGACTGATTAGTCATGTGTGGAATATAAGCTCCCACAAAACATTAAATGTGCAACAACAGTCAGACATTTCAAGGCAAATTGTTAAAAAGCTTGATGCTAGAGGACATTAAGAAAGGCTGCACTTTTAATAGATGTCTATCTTAAACTATACATACTTTTGAACTATTCCTATATTGTAGGTATCTATTAATAATTCTAATATCCTAAGGTTTTTGTATATATATATATAGTTATATATAGTTAGCCTGACTGGCTCGGAAGATATGGGCGACCCACTTCCTGCGTTTTTCGACTTTAAATAAATCATTATCATTAAATAAATCATTTCCCAGGTGATGACTACTAAGACCAGCATTCCTCGCGGGCATCAAGCCTTGTGATGTCATTATGCATAAATATTAGCTAGGGCATGCAAATAAAGCAATAAATTAGCAAATAGCATATTTTACCAAAATCTTTAAAAACATGTATTTATCAGTCAAAACTAACTGTTTTCATGAGAGAAATAGTTTTTAGACAACTTACAGCGAGTTTCAGAAAGTTTGGAGTGGTTTGGGGAACTTTTTGAATTTTTGAAAAATTTCCTGTGGTTCCCCCTTTGGTCACCTGGGTATGCCTGTGGTCCCCCCTTTGCATTTTACCAAAATTTTTAAAACATGTTTTTATCGATCGAAAGTAATTGTTTTGATGACAGGAAAGGATTTTGACAATTTTCAGAACGTTTGGACTAGTTTGAGGTTTTTTTTGAATGTTTTTGAATTTTTGAAAAATTTCCTGTGGTTCCCCCTTTGCTAAGCCTAGGGTACCAAAATTTTACCAATATTTTTTAAAACATGTTTTCATCAGTCGAAACTAACTGTTTTGATGAGAGAAATGGTTTTTGACAATTTTCAGTGAGTTTCAGAAAGTTTGGAGTGGTTTGGGGGCACTTTTTGAATTTTTGAAAAATTTCCTGTGCATGACAGGAGAGAACCAATAAAATTCAACTAACAAGAGTTTCCAATTTGAGGCCTGCATAAATCCTCTTTTTATTAACTTCAGTAGCAGGCTCTATTTCAAGCATAGAGCCTGACATCCAGGCTCCCGACCACCGGCACTGTGTTTTGTGGCCCCTGACAACGCCATCTTTTATGGCCCAGTCGACCGCTGGTGCTGTTCAGGTCCACAAAACACACTGTTTCCCTCGGTCTCAATAAATTAATTTAATGAATTTAATCAGCACGAATGACGTGGACGTCGTGAATTTAACACAATGAAAGCTCTCCCGCCATTTCTGTTCAGCGGGGGATTTTCCTGTGTGGAAGTTGGCCTTTACATTTACATGCATGATCAATCTGTCTCTTAGTTTACTTGACATGTTCAGTTTCAGGAAATAGTGCCATGTTTACTCAAACTCTCTGAAGCGGCGACTATTTTGAATTTTGAGTTAACGATTCAGTTTAATTTTTTGCTTGCCGGAATCTTTAATAGCAAGTTTGAGTTCACGATGTTCTATTAGTTATCATGATTACTATTTTGGAGGTGGGTGCCCTGCATGGCAGGGCTGTAAATACTTGTTACAATTGTAACGCGTTACTGTGTACTCGTTACATTCGAAGTAATTTTAACCTGTAATTAATTACGTTTTTAGAAATGTAACGAAAAACGTAATTAATTACAAAAGCAAGGAACGTGTTCCTATTCCAAGGAGCAAATTGAAAATTCCTTTTCTTATTTTCTTAAAAAGCAGAAATAAAAAATCATGTCCAACACTTGAAATAAATCTGGTATTTCCGCACACCCGTGTATTTAGTTCTCTTGATACAGGGTGTCCCAAAAAACCATTGAAGTAACGTATTGTTAAAATGTGAATGCCCCAGCACTAAGCTGAATGCAAAGATGTGTAAAATATTGACAAGGGTGCATATATTAAATATTGACTTATTAAGAAATTAAAATATCTTTGTAAAGCACACGATTTTCTGCTCTTGGTAATAATTTACTTATGTCAAGCTTTTATGCACATGTGGGTTCAGCAAAGTGTACCCTGGTTCCAGAGGTTAAATTTTATTATTTGCATTGCGAAGGGGAGAGGAAAAATCAACCTCTGGTTGAAAGCAGGCAATTAATTCATCGAGCAGCGCCAATCAGTTTGAATTAGGGTCAGATCCTGACTCTGTCTCCTGATTGGATGATTGTATTGGGTCATTCCAGAAAAATTCATACCCCCCCTACAGAGGAAATCGAAAATAACCCCCCCCCTTCGGACATCCTTGAATGGTTCAACCTCCCCCCTCTCCGGACGTCAAAGCCCAAAATCCCCCCCCTCCCCATCGGACATCCACTATTTCCAAATTTTTCTAAAGGCTACCTCGCCGTTTGAAAACGTCACCAAAAATTAGACTATCACACTACGCATGAGCGAACTAATGCGGGCAGAATTTACGTGTGTTCAGACTACGCCATTACAGTTTGTTTACAAATTAAATTAGCACTCGTGTAAACCCAAAATATTTGAAATTGAGCCAAGAAATTTAACTGAAAAGCATTTGAGTTTAGATGTTTGTGTTCACACGAAGCTATCAAGCGCTCCGTTTTCACCTCGCTCTGTTTAGTCATTTAGAAACCGTGCTCAAATTGTTACGGCAAAAATTATGTGAAAGTTTTCGAACTATTTTGCTCCAGCATAGTGGTATTAAAGCGATGGCTTATTGTGACTTTTCTATGCTGTTTTCAAACATAGGCTGCCCAAAAGTGCGTGTTGTAATTTTTACCCTCGCGCATGGCGCTCGAGCGTGCATCGAGTCTACTCAGTTTATTATTATGACAAGGTTGGCAAGAGTTTTAACGGAAACTTATTACAACGTTTACTAGAGTATGAATATTTTCGCAAATTACAAACAAAAACAATATAAAATCTACATCATTTCAAACACTGGTAATTTTACTACATTCTCTCAAAGTTTTAACTTCAAAAGTTCATTCTAAGGTTGTTAAAAAAGCGAATTATTTTCGGGGTTTTTGCAAAATTTTGTCAAAACTATGCTGGGGTCACGTACCCTGTGGTGATGTCATATTTTTTAAATCTTGAAGAAGCGTTGATTCGCTGTTGTACACGATTCCAGTACAAGTGTTTGAAATGATGTAGATTTTATATTGTTTTTGTTTGTAATTTGCAAAATATTCATACTCTAGTAAACGTTGTAATAAGTTTCCGTTAAAACTCTTGCCAACCTTGTCATAATAATAAACTGAGTAGACTCGATGCACGCCCGAGCGCCACGCGCGAGGGTAAAAATTACAACACGCACTTTTGGGCAGCCTATGTTTTCAAATAGCTCCGGCGTGGCAGAACACTTGGCGGCTTCTTGCAAACACAAACATGTGGCAGGTTTTGTCGGATAATTTGCAGAAATTCACTTCGAAATTCGATCAAGTAAAATTCGGACTGAAATTTGATGTAATTTGCGACTGATTGACAAGCATTGCTATGTTTACTTACATGTTAATGCATTTTTAGCATTACTGCATTCCTTAACCTCGCCCTTAATATGACAGCCATTTCTATTTTCTAGACACGCATCTCTCAAGGAAGCTTTATTGACTATATACTAAAACAAATTATTTTGGGTTCAGTTCACATAGCAGTATTCGAGCAACAGTTTAATAACTATTATTTTTAACACTTGAATAATTCAAACTTATCAGTTACGAACGAAAACTGCAAAACTTTATTTTTATATAAATAAAGTGTGTCAATTTTCGACTCATTCTGAACATGCAGGATACGCTGTTACATCGAGTTAGTTTTTGGTGGTCATGCATGCGAAAGTGGGCCGCTTATTTTGCTTACGAGTTACATGGACGTATAATTATTGCTGTTACATAAACGTTCCGGTGTTTAAGAGCTACTATAGCCGATACAAATTGCATGCTCATTATAATCGCTAGCCTGCGAAAACAGCCTCTACTTTGCTATATAATTGCCGATCACATAGCTTTATCACAGTCTCAAACCTTCAGACAAACATATCCACATTCCTCTCCCCCCCTTTGGACATCCTAAGACATTTTCCACTCCCCCCTTCGGACATCATAAGACATTTTTCCTCCCTCCCCCTTCGGACAGCAAAAATTTCCTCCATTGGGGGGGGGTATGGATCTTTTCTGGAACGACCCATTAAAGCTCTCCGATTGATTCAAATAAAACATCTATAACAAATCAGAGAGCTTCAATAAAATCATCCGATCAGGAGTCAGAGTCAGGGTCTGACCCTAATTCAAACTGATTGGCGCGGCTCGATGAATCAATTGCCGCTTTCAACCAGAGGTTTATTTTAAACTGATCTGGAACCAGGGTAAGCAGAGTGCTGAGGCATTATTCATTTCAATAGTTTTCGGGTTTTTTTGGACACCGGTGTATAATATATATAGTAACAATTTGCCGGTAAAGGAATTTGTAATTCCTTTTTTCCGCTGTAATTTTTCAAAGGTACTTAATTACATTTTAGAACAAGTACTTGTAATCAGAAATTTATTATATTTTAAAGCAAGTAATTGGAATTCATTCCTTTTTCAGTGGTAATTGTGCAGCCCTGCTGCATGGGACCTTCTATATAAGAGTCCTGTTCATACCTTAGGGACCGGTCATAAAGTATTTACTAGGGGGTGTGGAGGATATTTTTGGGGGGTACGAAAAAAAAGAGAACCTCTGAGGGGAGCACGAAAAACACAACAGAACCTCTAGGAGGGTACCAAAATCTTAGTACTATAGGTACGAAAAAAAATTACATTTTATAACTATTGTTGAATATTGAATGTACTTGTGCCCAGATTTAATTATTATTGTTGAATATTGAATGTATTTGTGCCCAGATTATTCTATAATTATTAAATCATCACAAGGTATATGTTTTAGTCTGACTCTATGTCAGATGATAAGTAGGATTCAGTATCCGTTGAACTTTTGGAGTACAAATCTGATACACCTGAATTGTCAACGCTAGCAAGCTCACACAGGCACAGGGCGCAAAATAACGGCTGAACGGTCGCCGGTCAAGGTGACCGACCAACTCAATTTTAGCTCGGACATACCGAATTTCTGGCCGGTCAAATTATTCAGCTTAAAGCAAAGTATATCACTAAAAATGTGACTATTTTCTCAGTATAGCATTACAAAAAGCCTTACTGTAATCAGTAATTAAAAAGTTCTTCACATAAAATAGCTTGCACTGCGCTAAAAGCGTCCTTATCTCTTAAGCGAACAACATGGCCATAGGTTTTGTGACGTACTGCGTGGGAAAGCTGGCGTACATTGAAGTTCTTTTCCCGCAAATCATTCGACAACATGTTATTATGGTTCTTGATTATAATACTTGACAACTTTATTTTGATTATTAATTAAAATCAAGATTATATATATAGTTTGTTCTTTTACCGAAAGTGACCGGTCAAAATGACTGGCAAGGTAAGAATTTGGCCGGACAACTCCGCATTCTGGCCGGACATTGTCCGTTGACCGGCCGTTATTTCGCGCCCTGGTTAGACGTTCGCGTCTTCTCGGATAAGGACGTTAAAATCAATTGGACAATAAACAACTGATATAGCTACTCAGTATAAATAGAAAATTTAACTAGCCAGGTAGTTCGTTTAATAGTCAGCCAAAATCCATCGGTCAGCCAGGCGATCCGTTATTAGTTCCACCTTATTCAAATTCTAGCCTAGTCCCAGACCTTCCTGCATGACTGGGTCGATTTTGAACCGCGGAACTTTCAGTGCGCGGAAAACCGCGTGAGAAGGCCTAGCGAAATTCATCGACTTGATCTTAGTCCTAAATTCATAAAGTTACCTTATACCCAAACTGACAGTATACATGTATTCCTTCCATGTCGAAATATCTTCATTGTTCATCCCAAAGGCATACAGTTAAATACAAAAACATCGATGTAAATTTGTAGAACCTAGGGCCGCTTGAATGGCACAAGTCAAATGCTACCAAGTAGGGCAGATTTGCGAATTGTGCTAGGCTTCCCATCTCTGCCCAGCGCGCCTAGTTCGCGGAAGCGAAAGGAACTAGGGCCTAGGCTCTTCAAATTCATTGTGTTGTGCTATATTTCATTACATTGTAATACAGCTGCTAATAACGTTTCATTGTTATGCAGGGCGACTTAAAGACAGTAATGCGCGACTCCTCCACTCCACTGAGCCCAACCCAGAAGGTAAATATCTGTGCAGCGGTCGCCTCCGGTATGAATTACCTCTGCAACCACGGTCACGTGCACAAAGATCTTGCAGCACGCAACTGCCTCGTGAACAAAGCATTCGACGTGAAAATCTCATTCCTCAGTCTAAACCAAGGCACCTATCCCAAAGAGTATTACAAGCACAATGGTGAACTTATCCCTCTGCGGTGGATGGCGCCTGAAGCTTTGGAAGGCGACTACAGTGACATGAGCGATGTTTGGTCATTCGGTGTCCTAATGTGGGAAGTTTATAGCGAGGGGATTTTACCCTACGAAGAACGACCCGACGAGGAGGTGCTGCATTCCGTGGCGGATGATCTACGTTTGACGAAGCCAGAGAGGTGTCCTGGAAAGATTTATAAAATGATGGAGAAGTGTTGGGCCGACGAGAAGGAATATCGAATTACATTTGGACAACTGTGCGAGGATATCTCTGAAATACCGCGAGAGAGCGATTTTTAGATTCGATACTGGTGGAGATTGCGTTTAAACATTAATGTGAATGCTATTGTGGTTTATACGACAGAAGATTCTGAAAATACCACGATAAAGTGACTTTTAGATAAATTGGTATTTGCTGTAAAGATTGAATAACGATACAAGCTGGAGAAAAAAGACAATTATAGGAATTATCTGGTAATCTATTTTCATAATAGGATATCTATGTATCCTGGATAAATATTATTATTATTATCTAACCTGATTTACTCGACAGAGGAACGTTTATCACTTATAAAAAACATGCTGGTCGTATTTGGAATTCAGAGATAAAAGACTGACAATAAGACATTTATATACTAGATGGTTCCGATATCTGCTTACGCAAAAGAAACGAAATTCGGGGTTAAAACTGAGTCCATGTCCAGAAGTATTACTGTAATAGGATATCTGGCCAAATTTTTAAAAGAAGGAAGTCAAGCATCATTTCTTTCGAACGAGGAACGTCCAACACTTATAAAAAAACATCATTGAACATACTGTACATTTGAAGTTCTAATGGAAGTTCTCATAAAAAGTTTTCCTAAGAATGACATTCAACACGAAGAGGGCACGTTTGCGAGGTGTGATGGGAGTTTAAAAAAGGAGTAAAGAATGTAGTAAAGAAAACGAGTGCTGTTCATTTCACGCTGTGGTAACTTGACATATTGTTAGTAACATGAGTGTAAAGTAAAAACATTGCATTATAGATAAGGCCAAAAAAAAATGTGGGTTTCCGGTTTCTTCTTATAAAAACTTAGGTAGGGTAGGTCGGTTTTAACTTTTTTTTTAAACTTTTTTTTTTAATTTTCCTTAACAACCGCACGCCATTTTGTTTAGTCAGTGCTTCCACATCCAAAGATAGATTTCCCTAATATTGCCTCAAATTTCAATTTTCCACAAACTTTTTCCTCTAAGTGGAAACACAAGCATGATCCAATAAAAAAGTTTAGGGTTGGGATTTCGACGTCCAAAAGTTAGGTAGGGTCGGGAAACCGGAAACCCACATATTTTTTTTTTGGCCTAAGGGGCGTTCAAAGCTGGATTAACACTAACCCTAACCCTCAGTTAAAATTTAATCTGCTGTTTAGTTTCTGCAAGTCTGTTTATTTCACAACTTCAGAGAAGAAAACTCCTGCTGATCCGGACACTATTCCTGAAGAAATTTTTATTTCCAAATTTAGAAACAAGCTGTTGCATTAGTTTTGCTTTGAATTTTAGGTTAACCTAGGGTTAGGCTAAACAGCTTTCGAACAACTGGACCCGGGACAAATTTAGGATGCAGAATTGCAGAACATACTCAAGTACTTCATGTTGCAAACAAGGCATGTGGCATTGGCACAGAATAGAGACCATACAGAAGTCCGACTTCTTGTCGACACCTATGATTTTGGCGTAACTGTTGTAATGCTGTCACCATGTTCCTATCCAGTGTGCTTACAAAAGGCATTCACCCCCTGGAAGCATTCAAAATGGTGTATGTTCAGGGGGGTGAATGCCCCTCATAAGCACATTGGCTAGGAACATGGCAACTGGCAAGTGCATTTTGATGATGAATCATTGCAAATCATGACGTGGCTGTGGTTACACTTTTTTGGATGAGTCGGACTTCTGTATGGTCTCTGTTCTGTGACATTGGTCAATTTCATTCCCAGGCTCTTCCCTCATGTGGAAGTAAAAGGAAGAGCCTGAGAACGAGGTTGCAAATGGTCGTCAACTTCAGAAATAGAAACAATAAACATTACTTTCTCGTTTGGATATATTGACCACCATTTGTTGCCCGATAGTGCTTAGTAAAACCCACCTGTATAGTGCATTGTTTTATCATTTTAAATAATTTATAAATATAAATGTATTTCTTAAGTATTACATTAAAGTTAATATACATTTTAAAAGGTCACATGTATTCTGCTGGTCTAATTACTAAAATTCTCAAACCTGTTTTTACCAAGGGGCCACATCCATATTCATGTTGCCACAAATAACATCGAATTGACTTTATTACTTCACCCACTCCAGATAAACGTCGATCGATATTCAGTCGTATTTTGACTTTCGTTACTTTGGACATTAATTGTCAAATTGCCACAAGATAATGTCGACAAGTTCACATGACCCACCCACTCGTAACGTTCATTCAGGGGCGTAGGAACCAGGGGGCCCAGGCCCCACAACATGAATATGGATGTGGTTCTTTATTATATCATAATGCCATGAGCATATTTGGTTCTATGCAGTTGTATGATTATAATTTCACCTCAGTCGTAAATGAGAAAAGGGTACTTCTATCAAAACTGCAGGATACTGCAAGAGAAGGGTTTCTCAAGTCTCACCAGGGGGTCAGGATTAAAATAGCTCATAATTTATATAATGATCTCATCTATATTCAAATTGTTGCAGGATTGATATACAAAATCATATATCAAACATATAAAGAAAGAGTGGTACTTACAATTTAGTCTGAAAGGACATGGCTTCACGACTTCACGAGAACTAAAATGAAAGAGTACTAAGATTTGAACTAAAATAAAATTTGAACTAAATTTTTTTAACACCCTCCCCCCCCCGCCCGGTTTGTATGATCAGCGTCATGTACCGCAGGCTCGTGCAGCATGGTTCTCGGCGCGATATTCTGAATTTTCATTTTATTCGAAGCGCAAGTTCATTTCAAAATATCAGGTACGTTTCTTCTTAAATCCACGCTAAACCTAGCCTATTATTTTCCGCTGTATATTGTATTATATTTAGATGCATAATCGGTCCCAAAAGCGAGTCTGATCAGTTGTGTTATCTGCTTAGATCCGGCTTGAACTGGCTGGAATGTTAGATACCCTTTTATATATGCCGATAAATGTTTCAGATCTTCTGTTTATCGTGTATTTGCTTTCGATTTCACAGTGAAAATGCCACGTGTACAAAAACGTAAAGCGCCTGCATCAAAATCGGCCGGGAATAAGAAAAAAGGTGAGTTTTATGTTGCTTGCTAGCACCACATGCACTTGAATGAAATATTTTCATGGAATTATAATAAAAGTAATTGAGAACACCCACGCAGCTATAGGGTATCAAATTTTCCACGTTGGAGGAGGTACTACAAACAAATTTTACTGGTGTTTTCATGGAAGTGAGCCAATCCATAAACACAAATTAGCTTTACTTTGTGGAGACCGATTAATAGATCTGTTGCTTGTGATGTTACTCTGAGTGTAATACTCATCCACATCGGGCAGGCTTGAAAAATATGCCTCGCCACGGTGGGAATCGAACCTACGGCTAGTATTCCAAAGGTCATAGGTTCGATTCCCACTGTGGCCAGGCATATATTTCAAGCCTGCCCGGTGTGGATATACATTCAGAGTAATATCACAAGCATCTTATTCACCTGAGTACACTACACCAACACAGCAAATATCATAATAGATCTGTGTTTGCATGCAAACTATTCAGATGGGTAGGCTTGCAATGCCTGGCATTGAGGTATGTTTGCACGCTATGGTGACCATTGCATTAGTAAATCGTACACATCAAATCGCAATGTGAGATCTCTGTTAGACAGGCTAGCTTGGTTCGTATATATAGTTAAAATTTATTGGAAATAATAACAAGGCCTAAAACAAAAACTTTTGGTTCCAGTTTCCTGACCGACCCTTTTTTTCTGCCGACCCTATTATTTTTTTCAACGCAATTGACCATGCAACCCTATTTTCTCCGGGTGGTTGTGGGCTGCTTATACAGCATGCCAAAGTGGCATCTGTTGTCACAATAATTATTGAACCAAAATACCATTTAATTGCCTACATTTGTCCATAGGAAATACACATCTCTGGTTAATTAATTAATATTGATGTTGGGACTGTACTGAAAATCACCCAGCAAAAAAAACTGCCAAAACCATAAAAAATATTTTAAAAAAATTCTTTCCGACCTACCTACCCTAGTTTTTTCACGACATGAAACCGGAATCACAGTTATTTTTTAGCCCCAAACAGTGGATCTTGGCAAAACTGGCTAGAATGCATACTGGCTCATGTCCATATAAACACTTCCTTAGGCAAATATATCTGCACAAATGAACCCTTATATCATTGCTTATCAGCTAATCAATTCTATTCATTTTCAGCTGTAAATGGAATTGAATCAGAGAAGCCAAGTGGGTTTGTGTTATCAATGGGTCAAGGTGACACAGGACAGTTAGGTCAAGGCGATGAAGTGTTTGAACGAAAGAAACCAGGATTTGTTAAAGGACTGGATGATATTCAGATTGTGCAAATCGTTGCTGGTGGAATGCATTCATTGGCCCTCAGCAGCACTGGACAGGTATGTGGCATGAAGTTTAACAGATCAGGGTTGATGAAGGCCTGCATAGACATACAAGATGGGGGGTAGGGGGGACAAACCTTAGTTTTTTTCTAGCGTACCAATGCTTACATGGTTATAACATATTGTTACAGCTTTGTTACACAGTCTGTTATTCAGCTTACCATTCAGAGGATTTCAGAGATTATTTGGGCTCAGGGCAGTCCCTCCTCGCCCTGTTAGAATCCGCCATTAATGTTGCGCATTGAAGACAGCATGCTACAAAGCATCCATTAGTTTCCCTGCTTGTCTGGATAGTTTTGTATTTTTTAATTGGCTCTGCAACTCCCTTATTGGTCCAGCATTTTATTGCTTCATAATTTATGTATATGATTGTCAGGTGCCAAAAGATTTACTTGATTCATTGTCTGCAATGATCATACTTTCCATTGAAGGTTTATTCCTGGGGTTGCAATGACGAGGGTGCACTGGGTCGTCAAGCAACACAAAATGATGGTGACGAGTGGCTGGCAAAGAAAGTGGAATTGCCAGACGATGTTCATGTTGCCATGGTTTCAGCTGGAGATAGTCACAGTGCGGCAGTAACAAGTACAGGAACTGTGTATGCTTGGGGAACGTACAGGGTAAGTAAGTACAGTAGTGGTTCTGATTGAATGAATAGTGGGTGCAGGCTTTTAGCCAGGGTATTTCAAAAAATACAGTGGAACCGTAGCAACCTACATTCATGGACATGGTAAAAAAACATGGTACTTGAGATCAATTGTCATATACTTGTAATACAATATGTTTTTTAGTGATTGACCGATAATCGGTATTGGCATCAGGTCAATTTTTGCTTTATTGGTAGACAATCGGAATTGGTAGAATTATCTATATTTCCGATTGTCTAAATACGCATTTACAAATTATATGCACTTTACAAATGATATGAACCGCCGAAAAATGGCCAAAAGTGCAGATTACCACCATTGCCAGCTACTATTTTGAACTTTGAATAAGAAACAAAATTTTTCATATTTTTGATGCAGAGATACATTTGTCAGTCAAAAACTACAGAATAATCAACTTAGTTTTATGTTTCGTTTTAGGATATCAGCGGGCAAGTCGGCCTCCGTCCTGATGGCAAAAAATCAGCTCCTGTCGAAATTCTCAATTTAACCAACGCTAAAGTCACCAAGATAGTATCCGGGAACGACCACACCGTAGCCCTTACTGAATCAGGAGATATCTACACATGGGGCTGTGCTGATCAAGGTCAGCTTGGCAGAGTGGCTGGTTACTTTAGCTCAAGGGGCGGCCGGCGTGGTTTGGAATTCGTGCTGGTTCCGCGTATAGTCCGACTTCGCCGGGAAACCAAATTCAAGGACGTCTTCGCCGGCAGCTTTTGTACTTTTGCCGTTGCAAAAGATTCGGCGATTGTTTATGTGTGGGGCTTGAATAATTACGGCCAGTTGGCAACGGGGGACACTGATAGTCCTTATTTCCCAAAGAAATCTCAAGCATTATCGGATTTAAACACAGATACTGATTGCCCAATCCGTATTGCAAGCGGGCAACATCATTCAATATTTTCGACCGCGGATGGAAAGGTTTACAGCGTCGGCAGAGCGGATTATGGCCGATTGGGGTTAGGTGAGGGAGCCACTCACCAAAATCTACCAACGGAAGTGGGGGCATTAGGTGACCACAAAGTACAGCAAGTCTCTTGTGGGGAGGTGGTTAGCTTTGCAGTCACCGAAGAGGGCCAACTCCATTCATGGGGCATGGGTTCCTGTCTACAGCTTGGAAGTGGTAACGACGATGATGATGTATTGAGTCCAATTTTGGTGGAAGGGAAGAATCTTGTTGTCACGGAACACGAAGTTCTAAACGTTGAAGCCGGTGGACAACATACTTTAATTTTGGCGCGAAAAAAATCGTAGGTTTTTAAGTTTTAAGACAAAAGCTGAAACAAGCGCACTTCTTATGCTGACTCGTACCCAGTCCCTGAAATGAGGATTGAAAAAAATAATCGTGCATGATGGGAATGATCAAGGCTCCTCAAGTCCACTGATCTATATATGTACTCATTGACGACTGGGTACGAGTCAGCTTTTTATGACAAAGGATTAATAATGTTATTGTATCTGGCATCTGCCGTAGTCTAAAGTACTCGCTTGCTTCACTTTCTTCTATTTTCTCTATTTGTCGGTAGGAATATTCACAGTGAACTATCTTAGTCTATAGTAATTTTTAGCCACTTCAAAAACATTTCAAGACAATCATATGGACTTGTGAAATAATAATGTAAAGCAATCTTTCTTAATAAAACGTTATTTTATCATTGAGCGACATCGTGTATTGCCTGTTGGTTGGCGCGATTTTAAATACTCAGGGGTGGATCCAGCAAGGTTTTTCTAGGGGGGGTGCTGGGTGAGCAGCCAAGTGTTTTTTACAATTCATTTTTTTGGGGGGGGACCATTCAAATGAATTGGCTTCCTAACAACTCAAGCGCCGAAGGCGTGAGCTCCCTAGGGGGTTTGAAAATTAGAACCCTAGAAATGCCTTTTACTGCGATATGGGCATTGAATTATGAGCTTCAGTTTGACTTCAAAATAGGAAAAACCATATTTCTGAATTTGATTTTAT